ACCAAAGACAGAGAGAGCCCTGAAGAATATAAAGAGAACTGGAAAGAGCTTACATAGGGAATTAGGTGGGCTAAAAGGGGCTATGAAATATCCTTGGTAAACAGGATTAAGAAAAATCCCAAGAAGTAGCTAGGGAAAGTGTAGATCCATTCAAGGACAAAGGAGGTAATTTGTGCATGGAGCCAGAGGAAGTGGGTCAAGGGCTCAATGAATACATTGCATCCATATTCATAAAGGCAAGGACATGGTGGATGTTAAGTCTCAGGAGGGGTCGATAGTCTAGGGCATGTCGATATAAAAAAGTGTTGGGTGTTTTGAAAAGCATTAAGGTATGTCTAATGCAGTAAGTGATAGAACCTTAGCAGTGTTAACATACAAAGAGACCTAGGCACACGCGTCCACAGATCACTGAAAGTGGCAACACAAGTTGATAAAGGGGTCAAGGGGGCATAAGGCATGCTTGCCTTCATTGGTCAGGGCATAGAGTGCAAGAATTGGCAAGTCATGTTGCAGCTGTACAGAACTTTAATTAGGCCACATTTGGAATACTGTATACAGTTCTGGTTGCCACACTACCAGAACAACGTGGAGGCTTTGGAGAGGGTATAGAAATGGTTTACCAGGGATATTGCCTGGTTTGAAGGGTATTAGCTATGAGGAGAGATTGGACAAACTCAGTTTGTTTTTACTTGAACATCAGAGGCCAAGTAGCGACCTGACAGAAGTTTACAAAATTATGACAGACGTTTACAAAATTATGACAGACATGGATAGAATGGATATTCAAAGTCCTTTCTCCCCAAGGTAGAAAAGTCAATTACTAGGGGCACAGGTTTAAGGTGAAAGGGGGGAAGCTTAAAGGAGAAGTGAGAGGCAAGATTGTTAACCCAGTGGCTGGTATGTGCTGCAAGAGGAGTTGGTAGGAGGAGAAACAATAGAAACATTTAAGAGGCATAGTGACAGAATAGGCAAAGAATAGAGGGAAACGAACTGCGTACAGGCAAGAGATTTTTAGTTTAGAAAAGTGTAATACGTTGGCACAGGCTTGATGGGCTGAAGGACTTGTTCCTGTACTGTACTGTTCTTCATTCCCAGTGAAAAATGACATGCTCTTACTAAATATTTGCTAGTTGTTCTGGAATAACTTTACATTTACAAATACTCTGTAAAATATGAATTTGAACTTGAAGACTGTTCCCACAAATTAGCTTCTTGCATTATCACTTCGTTATTACTTCTTCAATAAATTTTTATATTTCAGTATCAGTGGAGAGGGTTAACATTTCAGGTCCAGTGACCTTTCTTCAGAAAAAAAAAATAATTGGAACCTATTACATAAGATATACAGAAAAGATTTAAATTTTCTGAAACTATGCTTGCATTTTTACTCCATGAGCCCCCTCTCATTCTTTCTTAATGTGGATAAGTGTGAGCCTATCCATTTTGATCAAAGGAATAGAAAGGTAACTTATTATCTAAATGGAAAGAAACTTAAGTATGTTTCAGTGCAGAGGGATCTGGGTGACCTCACAAATTACAGAAAACTAGCATGCAGGTACAGCAAGTAATAAAGATGATAAATGGAATTCTGACATTTATTGCAAAAAGAATAGAGTATAAAAGTAGGGAACTGATGCTACAACTATACATGCCATTAGTGAGACTGCACTTGGAGTACTGTATATAATTTTGGTCCCTTTACTTGAGGAGGAATGTAATTGCATTGGAGGCAGTTCAGAGGAGGTTCACCAGATTGATTCCAAAGATGAGGAGTTTGTCTTATGAAGAGAGAGTGAGCAGTTGAGACCTATAATTGTCTAGAGTTTAGAAGAATGACAGGAGATCTAACTGAGATATACAAGATGCTAAAGGGGATTGACAAAGTAGACATAAGGAGAATATTTCCTCCCTGGGGCAATCTAGAATGAGAGGTCATAGTTTTAGGATCGGGGTAGCAGATTTAACACAGAGGTGAGGAGAAATTGTTTGTTTCAAAGAATAGAAACATGCAATCATAGAATCACTACAGTGTGGAAGCAGGCCATTCGGCCCGAGTCTACACTGACCCTCCAAACAACATCCCACCCAGGCCCAACCCCCCCACTCTATCCCTGTAACCCTACATTTCCCATGGCTAACCCACATAATGCGCGCATCCCTGAACACTATGGGCAATTTAGCACGGCCAATCCATCTAACCTGCACATCTTTGGACTGTGGGAGGAACCTGGAGCACCCGGAGGAAACTGCCGCAGAGAGAGGGCAAATGTGCAAACTCCACAAGGCTGGAATCAAACACAGGCCCCTGGCGTTGAGGCAGCAGTGCTAACCGTCGTGCCACTGTGTTGCTCAAAGTGCTGTAAATCTGCGGAATTCACTACTCCAGGATGTAGTGGATGGCGTGACATTGAGTAAATTTAAGGAGGAGAGAGACAGATTTTTAATTAGTAAAGGGTTGAAGGTTTATGGGGAGCAGACAGGTAAGTGGAGTTGACAATGAAATGAGATCAACCATGATAGTACTGAATGGCTTAGTAGGCTCGAGGGTCTGAATTACCTGGCCCTTCTCCTAGTTCTTATGTTATGTTCAGCATTTTAGCATATCCTTTGAAAGCATTTTCTCTTTTAAACTAGTCCGGCTTCTTTTCAAAAACATCTAGGGTATTGCTTCATTTACCTTCTTTGATAGCAAGTTCAGTTTTCTAACTACTTTCTGAGAAAGAAACTTCCCCTTATTTTCTTATCATATTTTGCAGTAATTATCTTCTGTTGATGGACCTTTGTTATGAATTTGCCCAAGTGCAAACATTTTCATCATATCTCTCCTGTCTAACCTATTCGAAACTGTAAAGACCTTATCAAGTCATTCCAAGCTTTTAATCTCTTAGTTCTAGAACTAGTTTTGTCAATCTTTCTGGCACGTTCATAAAAGTTAGCATCAAATTTTAAACAAACATAAAATTCTTCAGGAAAAATGGTTTCAAAATACAAAAGAAAATAAATCTATAACATTTTGTTTAACTGGTAAGCCAGGAAATATTTTCTATTAGTTTTTAAATCAGCTTCTGACATTGTACTTAATGATTTCCTTCATCATAATTAGAAGTCAATAAATATGACCCTTCAAAGGTCTCATCCCAATCTTTTCCTATATTTGCAGCAATAATGCAGAAGTCATTTAACAGGATTGGTTTTCCCAGTAAGATAATATACAGCTTGCCAAGATACTATAAATTTCACTCATTGCATTCCTCCCCAGTGGCCCTAGGGTCTGACTCCATACTTAAACTTTCAAGAGGCACAGAATCATTCAGCAGATAACAGCAGCAACATGCATTCATATAAGCACTAAAGAAACATAATCAGACAGATAGTGACATTGAAACAAGGGAACAAATGAGGAGGAATTATTGAAAAGCTTGGCAGAGGTAAATTTTAAGGAACGCCTTGAAAGCAAGAAACAGAGGTGGACAGTCCCTCAGATTATGAGTCAATCCAAGTTATTCTGAAAGATCCGACAACCTGCTGCAAAACACTGCCATTTTCAGTAAGAACGGAGAATCTATTCTGATAAAAAGTAGTAATAAATAAAGCAAAGAAGCACAATGAAACCTGCAAAGAACACTGAAGCTGGTGTAATGAACTTTTTGAACTCGGTACACAATGAGTTGAAATCATATAACTTGAAATGTCAGTTGTAACAAAGTTGTCAGGGCATTTTCTCCACCAGAACAGGAAATCTAATTAAAAGAATGCCTGAGATCAGTCAAGGCTCTGGAATGGTAACTCCAGGTTGGCTAAACTTGTGCCAGCTCGACACATGACTACACTGACCAGCTAAAGCAGAATTAAGCCGCGCTGCAATGAAAAAGCACTGGCAGGCCATCATTCGACAGGAGACCTCTCTGTGAAACTTAAAGTCTGGTTGAAGGCTGCAATGATCGCAAAGAGGTGACCTGCCTGCTTATCCACCTGTTTCCCAAGCTGAAGCTGCAAAGGCCATATAGGCGCTGCAAGATTTTGCATTGCAGTGATGACACAGAGGACTGCATCACACTCATCCAAAGACAATGCAGTAATCAGAAAAATATTACTGATTTTTTCCAAAGCTAACTTCCATAATTTTTCAATGACTTTTACTATAGAAGGTCAGGCCACTGTAAGGTGTGTACAAATTGAAAAATGAAAAGTTTTTTTCAGTTATTTACCATGTCACTATGTTTTCATTTTTCTGACATGGAGTGCACTTCCAGGCAATAACTGGATTGCATAAGAGGCCTCCTTAGCTATCTCAAAACTTCACTTAACACAAATTTATCGAGGGGCCTCCTGTGATTTAACTCATCATGATTTTACTGTAGGCTGGGGCAAGGAACATTCCAGACAAAATAGACTGTAGATCAGAAAATAGAGAACAGTTGAGTGAAACATAAACTCAGTAAATCAGACACCTGGAATATAGAATATTGAGGTCAGTGTTTGGACATGTGATGTGGAAGGAATATCAGAAACACAAAAACGTTATTGGACTCAAAACATTAACTCTACTTCTCTCTCCACAGATGCTGCCAGACCTGCTGAGCTTCTCCTTTCACATCAATAATAACGATTGGCTGCAAAGTACACCAACCAGAATAACAGGAAGAAGATACGAGTGGAGAGAAAAGAGGTGGTTATGTCCAAAAGCCCATATGTTAGGAATACCTAACAGGAAATTTAAGTTGATCTGTGGAAGGTTGAAAGTGACACAATGAACATCACTCATGTGAAGACTAATCCAAGTATTATGGCAATGTTACTGATCCTGAAAAGGAGGAAAGCAAATTGCTTTATAGAAATCTAGACAGGGGATGTGAGAATAAGAAGTTATTTTAATGGGAATTCTTCAACAACCAAAGATTATGTATGAAAATCTCATATTCTTAATAAAGAGCTCTGGCTAATGCAATCCATGACTGCTTCACATTCAATTATTTTAGGAAATCCAAAAGTAAACTCACCACAGATTCAATGCGATTCCGTCTGAGATTTAGTTCTGTCAGTGAATCAAGACCACTCATGTTTTCAACATGAACAATGAAATTACCCGCAAGGTTAAGCACTCGAAGTTCAGTTAAATGATTGATATTTTCCATCCTACAGATCTGTAAATAAAAACAGACAATTTTAATATTAACACAGATTTTTACATTGTGCAGAAACATTTATGAGTTAAAAATTAAACATTTGCCTCTCCACACATTAAAAAAATGCTGAACCAAACATTATAAAAGAAACAAGAACCCTTAGTGCATTGCCAACCTGAAAGTGTAAAAAATGTGTACGTAAAAACAATTACAGGAATTGCCCTTCTACAATACTGTAGCTTATTTCAAAACTGATCAAATTACTCAATGTGCAATGAATTCATAATAAAAACCAAAAGAACTGCGGATGCTGTAAATCAGGAACAAAAACAAAGTTGCCAGAAGAGCTCAGCAGGTCTGGCAGCATCCGTGAAGGAAAAAACAGGAAGGGTCTGAGGAAGGGTTCCCGGACCCGAAAGATGTGCAATGAATTCTTGTTCATTAATTCAGGTCTAACTTGGTAACTGCTGCTCCATGCAGTGACAGAGCTATTCCCATCTGATTGCACAACCATTGTCAAAGAACTAATACAATTATAAAAGTCCTAAGATAGTAATAAGCACAGATTCATCGTTTATTTCTCGCACACGCACACAGACACCCACACCGATACACCCGTAAATCTCTGAGGGGAATCATTTCATCCAAGATGTTTGTTTATTTGCAGATACATTTTATTTCGTTCAAAAAACACACAATTTGTAGTCACAGTCAGTGTGGCATCTTATAAATTCCAGCTTTCGAAATAAAACCAGCCCGATTCCAGGTTAAAATTCTGAAACAAATTTTGAACAAAGCGTCACACTTACAACTCAATGTCTGACCTGCCATGTCATCTTTTGTATTTCCTATGGCTCTGCCTGATTGTCACGACAACACAGCACTGACAATTATCGTATCAACACTTTACACACCGTCTCACACTCTTGGTCACCTGTACAGACTTATCATCTGACACTCGACTCACACCAGTTGTATGATCTTTTGATCTCCCTACCTATAAACTCTCTTGCCTGTGTGCTCGATCACGGCACCTGACAAAGAGGCTGCATTCCGAAAGCTTCTGATTCCAAATAAACCTGTTGGACTATAACCTGGTGTCATGTGACTTCTGACTTTCTCCAGTTGAAGTCATTGTTTTTAGCCTTCACACCAAATGCTGCTCACTAGCTTCTATTCAACTCTTCTCCAATGGCAACAGTTTGATACTAAAGCAGATTGTTTGCAACCTTAGTGCCATATCTGACACCCAAGGTGAATGTAGGCCATATACACACATCATTGCTCCATCCATTTGCAATTGTGCAACAATTGCCTGCCTTCACCCCTGTCTCAGCCCTACTGCCGCTGAAACTCTCACTAAAATCTTTGTCAAGTATTGACTTGATTATTCCATTGTATTCCTATCTAGTTTCCCATATTCCACTCATTGTAAACTTGAAGTCATCCCAAACTCTGCTGCCCATGTCTCAAATTGTACCAGGTTCTGATCACTTAATCTCACGCATTTGTATTGGCTTGCAGTAAAACAATGGGTTGATTTTAAAATTTTCATCCTTATTTTCAAATTCCTATTTCTGTAATCTCTTCCAAATCCACAGCCCTCCAAAATACATGGACTCACCCAGTTCTGGCTTCTTGTGCATTCCAAATTATAATCGTTGCACATTCAAGGCTGTGCCTTCAAGAACCCTCCCTCCAAGCTCTAAAGTTCCCTCCGTTAAGCTTTCTACCTTGCTTTCCTCCTTTTGAGGCATTGCCTGAAACCCACTTCTTTGGTCATCTTACTTGGGGAGGTGATAGCCTAGTGGTATTATCGCTGGACTGTTAATCCAGAGACCCCCACATAACGTTCTGGGGACCTGGGTTCGAATCCCTCCACAGCAGATGGTGGAATTTGAATTCAATAAATATCTAGAATTAAGAATCTAATGATGATGACCGTGAATGCATTGCCGATTGTCAGAAAAACCCATCTGGTTCACTAATGTCCTTTAGGGGAGGAAACTGCCATCCCTATCTGGTCTGACTCTAGACCCACAGCAATATGGCTGACTCTTAAATGCCTTCTGGGCAATTAGGGATGGGCAATACATGATGCCTAGCCAGCGACACCCTCATCCCATGAGTGAATAAAGAAAAAAGCCTTAATATCTTCTTACATAGCTAGCAATCATATCTTGTTTATTAATGTTCCTGTGAAGCACTATGAGACATGTTGTTGCATCAAAGGTATTATAGAAATATGAGATTTTGCTCAATAATGACACCTGTACTGTACCTGGTTTGCATGCAGATCCAGAACATCAAGATCAGTGAGACTCTCCAGATTAGAAATGTTCTTGATTCTGTAGTACAACAGAAACAAATTTAGAAATCATTTTCCAGGAAAAATTGAGAAAATACGAACTCCACTCATTTTCATTAGACACATTTATAGAAAACTTTATTTTACAGCTTTCCATCCCTCCTCAGCTGAAGCACTAATTCTTGCTGGTGTTTGGTCCTAGTTGCTAGTTATCCATTAGGATCAACCTTGTGTGCTTACACAATGAAAACTATTCACATTACTGGCAGATCAGCTAAGAGACTCCGGCAGATTCCGAGCAATTCAGATTGGAGGGAATAAAGCAACTCAAGTACTTCAAGCTACAACAGAACCAGAAATACATCCAGCAAAGTAGCACACCCGACTAACAATTTCAACATGGAGTAACAGCACAATTAATTAAATTAAAGGCAGTAAAAGAAAAGTACAATAATTGTTATTCAGTACTTCCTTGAAGACTAAGACGCTAACAACTTCTAACTTTATCCCAAGATATTCTAACCAAACAGCAGTCAGCATGTCATTTATTGACTACCCTGAAATATGAAAATTGTTATAGGAAATTAGAACTTTATGGAAGATCAAACAGATGGGCACCAGATAGGGTGGGTAGATAGAGAAGAAACTCTAACTGAAATGCTAGTGAAAGAGGGATTCCTTTTCATGGGAAACTAGCACCAGTGCTGGGATGGGAAGAAGCTGTACCTGTTGGAGGTTCTCCACCTGAACCAGAATGCGAACCATCTTCCAGCAGAAAGGGTGAAAGAATAGTTGGCATAGGCTTTAATTTAGTAAGCGGGTATTAACAGGAAACATCAGCAGCCTGTTAACAAATAAGGTTTGTGCCAATTTTGAACTCTGCCTCAGATGGTGACCAAGGCAGAATCATTGAATATTTTTAAAACAGAGGTAAACAGATTCTTGTTACGCAGGGGAATCAAAGGTTATTGGAGTAAATGGGGTGTGGAATTCAAAACACAAACAAATCGTTCACTATCTTATCAAATGGTGGAACTGGCTCGAAGAGCTGAATGACCTACTTCTGATCCTAACTCATAGAATTTGTTTGCTTTCACCAACAGTCCAACAACTGTACACATGCATAACACTATGCCGAATTTTAAAAATTAAAATCCCACTTTGTTTAGCACTTCATTTTTATTACACCATTTACTCTTAGATATCATTTTGGTCATTTCTAGGTACTTGGCACTTTCGAAAACTATAGTTATGAGGAGACATCACTGCTAGTATGTATGCTTCTGGGTGTCAGCAAGGGAAACCACTCATATTTATATGTTTGCAAATTAATGAAGGATATTGATGGAGTGATAAAACGTTTCAATAGCACTGAACAGTGTCCTTAATAAAAACAGGACTGCTCGATACAATTGTGCTTTGGGAGGAACCACATATAGAGGGGAGGCTGTGGTAATGTTGATGGACCAGTAATCAAATCCCACCATGGAGTTATTAAAATTTGAATTCAATTAATATATCTGTAATTCTATGCTTGTCCGAATGGTGATCATGAAACCATTGAAGTCCTCCAATGGTTAATTAATGCCTTTTAGGCAGGAAATCTGCCAAGCTTACCTGGTCTGGTCTACACATACCTCGAGACTCACAGCAATGTGACTGACTATTATATCCTTTGATACGGCCCAGCAATCCACTGAGTTGAATCAAACCACTACAAAGTCCAAGAAAAGGTGTGAAACTGAATGGACCACACAGCATTGGCCTGAGCACTGCAAACAATAATGGTAAAGTTATCCCTGTCAAACTTGCAAAGTCCTCCTCATTAACATCTGAGCGTTTTGGGCTTTGGGAGGGCTGCCCTACAGACTAGTCAAGCAAGAGCATGACATAGCCATATTCATGGAAATATACCCTACAGGTATCACCACCATCATCTCTGGGAATGTTCTGTCCCACTGGCAAGCCAGCCCACCAGAGATGGTAAGATAGTGTTATCCAGTCATGAGGTGGTTGTAATGGGAATCCTCAACATTGACTCCAGACCCCATGAAGTCCAAAAACTTCCTTGTGATTTAGCACTTACAGCAGCCATTCAAGTGTAATCCTCCATATTGAACACTAATTGCAAGAAATGCAAAGAGTGGCAATGACAAAGAATGAAGTCCCTCAACCAGATTACAATGCCTATCAGTAGCGAAGTTTCAGCAGCACCACTGTTAGTGAAACTAGTCAAGTCCTAAAGGATATAGGCTGCAAGGCTGGATCTTTGGCAGCTGGTGTGGGAACCAATAAGAGGAAAAAATGTACATGATGTGTCCTCACTAATCTACCTCGGAGAAGCATCTATTCATGACAATATCAGCAGGTCTGAACACCAAACAAGGAAGCTTACTTAAGGTTGAGGAAGCAAGGATCAGACAGGGCTCTAGAGGTCTACAAGGTAGCCAGGAAGGAACTGAAGAATGGACTTAGGAGAGCTAGAAGTGGGTATGAGAAAACCTTGGCGGGTAGGATCAAGGAAAACCCAAAGGTGTTCTATGCTTATGTGAGGAACAAGAGGATGGCCAGAGTGAGGGTAGGGCCAATCAGGGATAGTGGAGGGAACTTGTGCACAGAGTCAGAGGAGGTCCTTAATGAATACTTTACTTTAGTATTCACCAGTGAGAGAGACCTTGACGTTTGTGAGGACAGCATGAAACAGGCAGATACGCTCGAACAGGTTGATGTTAGAAAGGAGGATGTGCTAGAAATTTGGAAAAACATGAGGATAGATAAGTCCCCTGGGCCAGACGGGATACACCCAAAGTTGCTACGGGAAGCGAAGAAAGAGATTGCTGCCCCTTTGGCAATGATCTTTGCATCCTCAACGTCCACTGGAGTAGTACCAGGTGATTGGAGGGTAGCAAACATCATTCCCTTGTTCAAGAAAGGGAATAGGGATAATCTTGGGAATTACAGACCGGTCGGTCTTACTTTTGTGGTGGGCAAATTATTGGAGAGGATTCTGAGAGATAGTATTTATGATTATTTGGAAAAGCACAGTTTGATTAGAAATAGTCAGCATGGCTTTGTGAGGGGCAGGTCATGCCTCACAAGCCTTACTGAATTCTTTGAGGATGTGACAAAACACAATGATGAAGGCAGAGCAGTGGATGTGGTGAATATGGATTTTAGCAAGGCATTTGATAAGGTTCCACATGGTAGGCTCATTCAGAAAGTAAGGAGACATGGGATTCAGGGAAATTTGGCTGTCTGGATACAAATCTGGCTGTCCAATAGAAGACAGAGAGTGGTAGTAGATGGGAAGTATTCAGCCTGGAGCTCGGTGACCTGTGGTATTCCGTAGGGATCTGTTCTGGGACCTCTGATCTTTGTGGTCTTTATAAATGACTTCAATGAGGAAGTGGAAAGGTCAGTTAGTAAGTTTGCTGACGACACGAAGGTTGGTGGAGTTGCGGACAGCATGGAGGGCTGCTGTAGGTTGCAGCAGGACATTGACAGGATGCAGAACTGGGCAAAGAAGCGGCAGATGGAATTCAACCCAGAAAAGAGTGAAGTGATTCATTCTGGAAGGTCGAATTTGAATGCAGAATACAGGGTTAATGGCAGGATATTCGTCAGTGTGGAGGAACAGAGGGATCTTGGGGTCCACATCCATAGATCCCTCAAAGTTGCAACACAAGTTGATGGGGTTGTAAAGAAGGCGTATGATGTGTTGGCTTTCATTGGCAGGGTAATTGAGTTTAAGAGCCGTGAGGTTATGCTGCAGCTTTATAAAACTCTGGTTAGACCACACTTGGAATATTGCGTCCAGTTCTGGTCACCTCATTACAGAGATGTGGAAGCTTTAGAGAGGGTGCAGAGGAGATTTACCAGGACTGGAGGGCAGATCTTATGAGGAAAGGTTGAGGGAACTAGGGTTTTTTTCATTGGAGCGAAGAAGGATGAGAAGTGACTTGATAGAGGTGTACAAGATGAGGAGAGGCATAGATAGAGTGGATAGTCAGAGATTTTTCCCAGGGTGGAAATGACTATTACGAGGGGGCATAATTTTAACGTGATTGGAGGAAGGTATAGGGGAGATGTCAGAGGTAGGTTCTTTACACAGAGAGTGGTGGGCGCACGGAATGCGCTGCCGGCAGTGATAGTTTTGAGACTTTTAAGCGAGTCTTCATAGGCACATGGACGATAGCAAAATGTAGGGTATGCAATGTAGATTGATCTTAGTAGGATAATAGGTCGGCACAACATCGTGGGCCAAAGGGCCTGTACTGTTCTATGAACAGTTGATGTGGAGACAAGTCCATTCTTCACACTGAAGATATTTTCAGCATTGAGGGGCACTGTCACTATTCTAAATGTGATAGGTTTTGTTCTACCAACTCAAAACTGAGCATCCATGAGATGCTGTGGGCCATCAGCAGCAGCTGCAGAATTGCATCCAATCACAATCTGCAACCTCAGGGCCCAGTGCCAACCCCATTCTACCATTACAAACAAGCCAGGTGGAATGAAGAATGCAAGAGGTAACAGCACTAAGCATATCTAAAATTGAGGCTTCAACTTGGTGAAGCAACAATACCGGATTGCTTATAGATTCATAAAAGTCATACAGCACGGAAACAGACCCTTCAAAGTGCTAGACTAGGCTAGTGATCCTGTAACAACAAATTAGGTACAAGCTCTGTAGTCCTGCCATATAATTTTGTGAATGGTGTCGGGCAATTAAACAACAAACTGAAGAAGACACAACAAACATCCCCATCCTGAAAGATGGGGGAGCCCAACACTTCAATAAGATGACAAGGCTGAAACACATGCATCCATCATCAGCCATATGTGCCAAAGGGATGATCCAGATCAGCCCCTTCTGAGGTCCTGATCATCACAGATAGCAAGTTTCAGCCAACTCAATTCACTCCATATAATATTAGAAAGGGCATGAAGGCACTGGACACAGGCAAGACAGCTGACCCTAACAACAATCCTACTACTATACTGAAGATTTCAATTCCAGGACTAACCATGTTCCACGGC